TATATATATATATATATATATATTTTGAAGTATATAATATTTATATACGGTAAAAAACAACAAATAAACTCACACACCCTCCTCACCTTTAGGTGAGGTTTGAACCTTAATCTTCTAGGAAGCTAAAGACTACGATACCGCTAGACCAAAGACCCTTTGATAGGAGTGCATATATTGGATTGGTCAGTTTGATAATATTTTAATAACTCAATCCAATAAATTACAATTAAAAGAGTCTTAATCTGTTATAAAAAAATTAAAGCATAATCCATTACATCAAACGTGTGTAGTTGGGTTCACGTGAGACCAAATGTTTTTCGTGAGACCCGTAAGACCAATTTATGTTCATTGATCAACTTTATAAGTTAATGATCTAATGGTCTAAAGTTGTATGGTGACAATTTTGTAATTATTGAGAAGTCTCGTGACAACTTTATGATTATGAATGTTCAGATTGTAGATCTAATCCAATGGTTGAGAATTGGTCTTACGGGTCTCACATAAAACCTTTGGTCTCACATAATCCAGTATATATATATATATGAGTTGAATTTAATAAAAAGTTGTAGTTTTGTCTTGCATTATATAATTTATAAACATGTACGACTCAATAAAGTATATACTCCTATAACTGGACCCTTATCTCATCTCGGTTGCAAAAATTTAAACGAATAGTCAAACAAGAGCAATTGATGTTACAGAGTTCTGTCTCGTTAAGTCAGTCAAATTTTATTATATGTTCATATGAACTACTCGGGCCAGATAATTACCAAGGACCGTTTATTAAACACTTACTTGGTAAGTACTTACCGGATAAATTTCTTTATCGGATGAACATGAGAATGGCCAAAAATCTTACTGGGTAAGAGCAATGAAAATGACAGAGGGTCTTATCTGGTAAGTAAGGATGACTGACTCTTACCCAGTAACTTGTTGCATTCGATATGTTTTGATATACTAAAATCTTATGTATAAAAAATAAAGTATAATGTTGAATCTATCGATAACCACTTACCGGGTAAGCATTTGGATAAATAGGCCCCTAAATTTTTTAAAAATGAAAAATATGCACAAAACAATATATAGATTACATAAAGAAATCCATAATGTTACAAATGTAGGGATCAGAATTTATTTTGGGGCCATTTCACCATGTAGATATGCATGCATGAACACGTAAACTTCGGACCTCTTGAATCCAGTTTTACAAATCTAATCATGGAAGAAATAATCTAACAATTTCACAATTCGATGAATGTAGTGTTATAATCCAAGAAGAATTTAATTAGCCATGACTGGGATGAAGATCGATGAAGAATTTGTACCCGATAGGCGCATTGAGGTTGAAACAGATGATGAGGAAAACGAAGCGGAAATTGATTGTGACGACGACGATGATGAAACCGGATCCGAGTGTGGAGTACCTTACGCCACAGCTCAAAGGAATTCCAGCATCATCACCGATTCTCAATCACAAAACCATGAACCCTGGCCTCAAACTTACAGGTCTCTCTCTATCCCTCTTCGATCATAGTTCAATTTCGAGCTTTGACTTTTGATGCCTCTGATTTTGTTTTCAGACTTGAATAATTGATATCGATTCTCGATGCAGCTGTATGTGTTCAATTTTGTACGGATAAATCTAAAGGATGATACATTCATAAGCTAGATATAGGAATTTCATGGAGTTTATTTTGAAACATTCATTCCCCCAATGAAATTTGCACTTGAAAAGTAGATATATCAGTCCTCTATTTCATATATGTCATTCTTAGCAACAGTTACAATATCCAATTCTATTTTGTATGCGAACAAGTCTGTAACAACCATCAATCAAATTTACAGTCAAACTCGTCATCAATATAGTTGTAAGAAAAGATAATGTATAAATTACTCATGTAATGGAGTATAAGCATCACAAACTGTAGGCCAGATAGAACAAGAAGCATCATAGCTAACATTGGCTATCATAGTATAGCCAACCACAAGCAAGACATCCCAGCACAGGATTCTTAGGAGGATCTCCTCCAATTATTGAAAATTAAATGACAATAATACATATAAAAATAGTAATTACATGTAATGTCTATGATTCTCCTCAATGGAAATAGTTTCTTGAGCTTCATCTGTTGCAAATTATGCAGGCAGTCAATGGACATGTACACAATGCCCCTTCATTCTATGAATTCTTTTAGAGGTGCATCAGAGTTGAATCTACCAATCAAATCAACTTTTGGTTCTACAAATGATCAATCCACCTTGCGCAAGCGCCTCATTTCTGCAACAAGCTTGGACAAAGATCAAGTTCCTGTTTCAACACTCCCTATTAAGTTATCTCAAACATCAAACTTAAGAATCTCTGGCCTCCATGATTTACCACCTCCGGTAGAGCAGTGCACATTTTATCAGTCGGTCCTTAATGGTGAGACCAATAATTATGTCTTCCTTCAGTTCTTGTCTTCGAATTTGTCTCCGTTGTCAACCAAGGAGAGTGTTTGATATAATATTAGGACATTCAGCCCATCCTAACATTCACAATTTACATTGCTTTAAAATGAGGAAGAATCTTATATATTTGAATTCACTGAATTATCAAGTCAATTTAATGAGACCTAAAAGTGGTGTGGAGAGAGTACAATTAGAAAATACATTTTTTGGCTTAACATAAAAAACATTGAAATACCTTTGATTATGAATTATTTTGAAATTTGAAATGCTACCAGACTTCCTTTGCATTCTCCATCAACATTCTTAAGTCTTATTGTTTATAATAATTGGTATGCAGCAACAAATGTCCTATGCGGCATAGGGATCCTATCAATGCCTTATACATTTAAAGAAGGAGGATGGTTGACCCTTTTGCTTCTCATGGTTTTTGGTGCTATTACATGCTACACTGGAATATTGTTGAAATTATGTTTAGAAAGATTTCATGGACTCCAGACGTACCCTGATATTGGACAAGCCGCCTTTGGTTTTTTCGGCCGCATATGTATAGCTGTGAGTATGAAATGAAGCTCAAATGTCTATAAAAATAACAATAAATTCCCTTGCCCTCTTTCTAAGTAGTAACTTACGTTTTCCCATTTGAATGCAGATGGTTTTGTACATGGAGTTGTTTGTAAGTGCTTCATGCCATTTGCATCTTCGAATTTTACTTGATTCCAAGTCGCGTACTAACAGTTGGTGTCTTGTATACTGCAGTCCTCTTGTGTGGAATACTTAATAATGATGAATGATAACTTGTCAGCACTTTTCCCACATGCCCACTTGGATATCGGCGGCATACATCTTGATTCGTATCAGTTCTGTGCCATTATATCCACCCTTGTGATCCTTCCAACAGTTTGGCTGCGAAACCTCAGCTTACTCTCATATATTTCAGGTTCTATATTTCTTTTGTATGTATTCAGGTTGATAGATGGTTCTAAGATAAATCTACTTAGGAGATTTGTAATTGTACGTAAGGTAAAAAAGGGGAAATTTGTATCAAATATCTATATATGAAGGGAATCCAACTTGAAATTTCTGATTTTGGTTGTTGTTTCTGTTGTTGGAAGCACCAGACTTGGAAGAAAGTTGTATTCACTAAGAAACACACAAACTTTCATTATTTTTTAGTACAAACAATTTACAGATATATATACAGGACTAACCATCACAACCTTTCAACATTGACGGTTGGTAATGGTGACTGTTGACAAAAGGTAACAGACACAATTGTCACATGACAGTTAACTAACCATATTTAGGAAGTCTAGTTTAGTTAAATCCAATAGTTTCTATGGAAAATATAAGATCTTTTTTGCTTTCTTTTCAAATAGAGGAACTAATTTAAGTGCTTCTTTGACCAGCTGGAGGAGTTCTAACATTGGCAACTGTGGTGTTCTGCTTGCTATGGCTAGGGGTGGTTGATAGAATCGAATATCACCCAAGTGGGACTGCTTTAGAGGTTGGAAGTTTTCCTCTAGCAGTTGGTCTTGTTGGTTTCTGCTATGGCGGCCATTCAGTTTTTCCGAATATCTACACTTCTATGAAAGAACCTTGGAGATTTCCATCAGCTCTTATTATCAGGTGACTATTATTCTGTCAAAAACATTTTGAATCCATCAAAGGAAAAAAGATAATTAAACTCACATATGCATCATCACCAAACCATACATTGATCTTATAGCTCTAATTCATAAGGATTTCATTACAAATGCTTCCGTTTGTAGTTTAATTTGCTTTCAAAGTTCAATGAAATCATCATATATAATCTTCTAAAAAGAACTGAAGTTCCTAAATAGTTCATATCAGCTTCAAGGTCGAACATAAGTTTGTTTGACAGCTTACATCTCTTTCACTTGAAGTGGATGGAAGGCATTATATGTTTAAATGTCCAAATGCGCATAAAATACTTGTTTATTGTAATATATTATGTTAACTTGTCTAATATCTTCATCAACACATGCATGCAGCTTTTCTGTATCTTTCGTTTTGTATACTGCAGTAGGAGTATATGGCTACTTGATGTTTGGGGACTCCATTAAATCTCAATTCACTCTAAATATGCCCACAAATTATACTACCTCCAAAGTTGCAGCATGGACAGTGGTATGATAATAAAACCTTCATTTCTCTTTTTTCTGATCAATTACTATAGTTTCTATTTCCATTGTGTTAAAATTAAATAAATGCATGTTGTACACAGGTTGTGGCCCCTGTTACAAAGTTTGCCTTAACACTTACACCCATAGCATTTGGTATTGAAGAACTGTTGCCTCCATCTCAACAAAATTCTTATGTTGTGTCGATAATCATAAGAACGGCATTAACATTTTTCATTCTGCTTGTAGCTTTAACAGTTCCATATTTTGGTAAGCATATATCCATCTTAATAGTTAATTTAAGATTATGGTGTACTTAACTTGTATAATCGTTTGCTAATCAATGATCTTGGACTAAACAACAGGAGTTGTGATGGGATTGATTGGATCCGTACTCGTGATGCTTGTAGTAAGTTTCCCATTTTTATTCTTCATTTTAGTCCAAAAATATCCTCAATTAAAGAACAAAAAGTGGAACAGGACGAGACATGACATAACAAAAATTTGTTGTCTCATGTTTGGCGTGACATTAGATTCGGACAAGATGACATACACCAATTAGTAAACTAATAACTACATATGTCAAATTAAAACTCTAAAATCTTTCACAGTTCTTTCAACTGTTTATTCTCACTCTTGCACCTCTAGTTATGTACACATGTACTGTTCAATCTTGTCCTATCCGCTTATGTTTTCATACGAAAAGAACTCTAATTAAGTGGTAGGCCTAGTGCTAATACACTTTGATTTGAATCCAACTAAATGATATCAACTTCTTAGGATTCATACATGAAAGATCTTAAATCTACCTTAGTTTATGTAAATGAGGCATATACATATGAACCATATGGAATAGTTAGAAGAAAACACTAGAATATTTTTGTCACAAGAAACGGCAAACCCTATTCTTCTCGATTCTCCTATATGATTATCTTTTTTGAATATTATTTATTATTTAACTTAGGGTTTGTTTACCCAAATGCTTACCCAATAAATGTTTACTGATACGAATCAACACTATAATTTATTTTGATACGTGAGATTTTAGTACATCAAAACGCATCGAATGCAACAATTTACTGGGTAAGCGCTTACCTGGTTAAGAGTTGTCATTTTCACTTACCGGGTAAGACTCTCCATTCTTCTCATCGCTCATATTCGGTAAGATTCTTGCCCTTGTCATATTCATCTGATGAGGAAATTTATTCGGTAAGTACTTACCAAGTAAGCGTTTAGTAAACGACCCTTTAGTCAATATTTGAAACATTTTTTTGTAAATTTCAGTGTTCAAATTACATAAAATTAATGGTTTCTTGCAGTCTATTATATTTCCTTGTGCTTGCTACCTGCGGTTACTCCGTGGCCGAACCACCACATTCCAGGTTTACCTTCTTAATTATTGATTTCTCAGCAAACATTTTATACAATTAACGTGTTTAATTCCTGATCAACTTAAATTCTTGCAGATCACAATTTGTTGTTTGATGATTTTTGCGGGATTAGTATGTGCCGTTGCGGGCACATATTCGTCGCTCGCAAGTATACCTGGTTAGATCGTAGAACGATGGTAGTTAATTCAGTTACAATTAGGAAACGGAAAGTCATTTGGACTCGCATTATCGTTGGAAATGGTAGACAATTGATAGATGTTAAAAGTCATCATCTTTGTTGAAGATCGGAGACGCTAAATTTGCCAAAAGATACGCTTCTCTTAAATTGTTATATACCCTACAAAAGCCTACATTTGACTTATGTTTCTTGAAGGTTAGAAAAAAGGTATAAGTTGTCGGTTTTATGTTTTCGGTGGTGGTTTACCTATCGATTATATGTGTAATCACCATTCATCTCCAACAATAGCGAGATGTAAACCTTAACAACCCTCGATTATGTCGTCGATTAATTAATCACAAGCTAGTAGATGGTTGTTCGACGTGTTTTGAAGTTGTATTCAAATGATCGGGTTGTAATCAATTTTAGTTGTATTTCGATTATGGAGACAACTAATGAACCTACATTGTAATCTCAATCTTTTCATTTCTTTTAAATCCATATTAATACAAATGGATTACAAAAAATGTCACCAATTTTCTGTAGGTCTTTTTATGTTATCGTACGAAAAACACATTTAAATACTTCTTAAGGTCAGATACGACCCATGAATCATCGTCACACATGAGTAAATCATCAATATATGCCAACACACTTAAGGGGATGTCTGAGATTGCTTATAAAAACAACTTGTTGACTTATTCTGGTGTGACACCGGTAATAAACACTTTTGAGTACTTGGATAAACAACTTATACCGGTGCCAATTTAAACCCTTATGACTTATAATAAGTTGATAAGTGCTTTTATTGAAAAACATAAGTTATTTCAAATAAGCAATCCTAAACACCCCCTAAGTCATGCATGTTTCCTCAAGATAAGCTCGAAGTGATCTCACAAGAATTCTCCTTTTTGGATGAGTTTGATAACATAATCCTCTGTTGAATATTGAAAGAGTTAGAGAGAGCATTGGTCTAGAACAAAATTCGAAGGTTTGCAGAATCCGTATCGAAGAAAATTCCAAACCCTACAAATTTTTGACCGCTTTATAATGCAGAAGTCAGGCCTACAGAAGATGACAGTCAAAAAAGTGAGACATTATTCAACTCTGACTCTCAAATGAGAATTTTTTAATCATGGTTTTTCAAAAATAAAATTTTTGATTAATGGTTCTCCAAACTATAAATGAAAATAAAGTTGGTTTCATCTTAATACAGTTTTCATATCGATTTGTATTCTTAACATGATAGATAAATATGTGATATTATCGTTTATTTTTTACTACATGTTCATAAAAATCACGAGGTAATTAGGCCAATAGTAATCGTCAAGTCATAGAAGGTTCGAAGTTTTTTTTTTTGTTTGTTAATCGTGGGTATTCAGGTCAGCTTGTACGTACTTCGACTAATCAGGAGACCTAGAGACCAATCAGAAAAATCTCTAGTGGTTTTGCAGGAGTCGAACCAATGAATTCTAAGGAGAATCCCCAAAGGGTCTTTCCGGTTTAAGATAAAATGATAGGGTCTTTATTGTAGTTTTTAACAAATATTGAACCATTGTTGTAAAGTAGATAAAAGTACAAGGGTATATATAGTAATTTGTCCATTTTAATCGTCCACCGGAGCCTTTATTTGACGTGGAAGGCAAAAGAGGGAGCATTGTTTGTCCAAATAGACCTATCAGACACCCACCGTTCCCTTTTGCAACCGGCGGGAGAAATCTCTCCCAACAATAAACAATTCCCCCCGCCGGAGACGCCGTCGTAGACCTATACGCCGGTGCCTCCGCCGCACTATTTCTACCTCAAAGATCAGCCTACAATTTCCCCAAATATTGCCCATTATTAGTTCACCGGAAAATTTGAGAAAGAAGGAGGAACGGTAACGACTCAAGAAATGGCGAGTAGCTCCAAGCTCTCACCGCATGTGATTGTTGTCTCATTTGCCATCGTTTACGTATACTTATCGACTATTTTCGTTTTCGTGAAACAATGGTTTGGGCTCGGTTCATCTCCAGGAATCATGAACACAGTCGCTTTCACTGCCGTTGCCGTTATGTGTATCTCCAACTACGTTATCGCCATGTTTAGAGACCCTGGTCGGGTTCCACCTTCGTTTACACCCGACATTGAGGATTCGAATCACCCGATTCATGAGATCAAAAGAAAGGTATGCAATGCGGGATCTTTTTTCTTTCCTTTTCCAATTTTAGTTCATTTGCATTTTCTTTCTTCATTTCTTGTTCTCTTGATTATTATCTGTTTCAACTTTAGGATTCTATCGATTCTTTTTGGAATTATTTCTGAAAATTAAAATTGGTGATATGATTTGATCCATTGTTAGGTTTGTTTATTTTCTGCTGCTAATTAAAAACGGTTCTCCAACTTGAGGGTTTTGCTCTTGATTTGGGAGTAATAACATGGTAAAACTATGTTAGACGCTTAGTATTAGTTTTATTATATATTTTACATCAATCTTAGATGGAATGAAATGTTTAATGGGTTTAGGTTTTGGTATGCATCTGTTTGTTATGGAATATACTGATTTAGTTCTAGAATTCAAGTGTGAGCACTGGATGAAGTGCATCTTGAATAGTTTCCTAACTTGTTTTACTTTCACTACTGTTCTTGGTTGTGAAAACCGAGATGGAATACTTTAACCTTGCTTGTGATTGATCAATTGCGCAAGAAGAGCGCGGATGAGTAGATTTCTGATGCCACTTATTATAATACAGAAGACATAAACCCGGGCATGCTAATTTGAACGTTATCTCTAACACCCTCATACCATAACATGAAATGATCCTTGATTCTTGGGTCACAAAACAATTGGTCAATTCTTGATCCCCACTCAGTATTATGAGTACTGAATATTTGGTGTAACCTGTAGTAACCGAGTTTCTCGAACTGATGATTGTTGTTTTGAGACTTGCTGCTAATAGTGTGCCCGTCTTGAAAAAGAATATTATGAGTACCGATAAGATTCCCATCCCTCCTTGTCAATATTTTAACCCTCAGTAATTTGTTTCCATCTTTTTTGCAATAATATTAGCATTTACTTGGACATACTTTAAGCTACCAACTACTAAGCTAGCAACAACCGAAGCATAAACGTTACTTTTTTCATTTGGTCACTTTCAAAACAGTCTGCAGACATTACATTAGGAAATAACATGCATTTTAAATCTTTCCAACCCCGTATCTCTAAGACCATCCAAAAATCCTTGCCGACTAACTACATTGAATCTCTATGGCGAAAACAAAAGGGGCTTCGTCCGTATCTTGCTAAAATACTCATTACTTCTTGGATACGATTGCTATCTTATTAGGTTAAAATTTAAATCACTTTAGCACTTTGTCTTATCAAAATCCTAAGAGATGAAGGATTGTGTCACATGCACCATCTCTAAGTCATTAAATGTATGCAAGCTTCATCAACGTACAAGACAAAAAGTGCATACTCTCTGTCTCTCTCCCCTTAGACCTTAAGGCATGTACAATTATCCACAAACGATGTTCATGAAATTCAAGTGAGGTTCATCAACATATAAGACAACAAGTGCTTACTTTCTCCCATTAGACCTTAAGGTCTGTACAGTTATCCGCAAACGTTCTCCATCAAACCAAATGTGGCCATCACATGTGGAATTAATGAAACCGCTGGTGGGAGATTACTTTAGCCCGCATACTGAATTTCCTAACATACGACAATGCCATTTATTCTCTTCAAAACTGATTCAAGATTGCACTAAAAAAGTGTTGTTCGTGTTCATTTCTACATAGCTCTGAACAAAACTGATTCATTTATTCTCTTCAAAACTGATTCAAGATTACTTTAGCCCGCTGGTGGGAGGCTATGTCCTGCACTCCTGATTCAAGATTGCCATAAAAAAGTGTTGTTCGTGTTCATTTCTACATAGCTCTGAACAAAATCGAGTTGCTAAATCAAGATCATCCAACACAAGTCCTTCTTAGACTTGGAAGAAAATTAGCTATGGTACTTAGTATGGCTTCAACCACAAGTCTTGCCTTATGCCTTTGACATTTCTTGTAGAGTTTCTTTTAGATTTGTCAATCTACTTTCACTTGATGATTATGACTATTTTGCTAACTCAACAAGATCTTGCCTTGATATTTGGCCATGGATTGGAATTTTCTTCTTTTATGGATTATAAAAATGATTGAGGATCACTTCTTGGTCCAACATCCAAGGTTATCAAGGCATCACCTTTTCTTCACCTAGACCACAAGCCACCAGTGACTGCAAGGTCGACCAATTGCCTTGCGGGTTATATAGGTCCCTATACTGCAAAGATAAGGAAATAATAGAGAGGCTTACACACAGAGAAATGCAGCAAGTAGAAGAGTCATCATAAATTTCTGCCTTAGCCTATTTAGTATGAAATGTACATAAAGAATCCTCTCCCCCCCCCCCCCCCCCCCCAAAAAAAAATGATGCATGACGTGGTGTAAGGTAATAGTGGGTGAGAAAAATTAAAATGGTGGAAGTGAGAAATAAAACAGCAACCCTTCACAACCGAATCATAAATCACGCTATTTCATGGGTGATCAAGGCACACAGAAGAAGGAGAAGACAACTAAATATTTTCCTAATAATATATCTATAAAGATAACTTGATCTAAATGCCACAATTTTGTCAAATATAAAGCAACTATATACTGTCATAATTGTTTTGAATCTTCAATGGTACTTGACCTAAATATTAAAATCCTCATCCCCTATTATTTCTATTGAATAGTTATAAAGTAGTGTATCTCTAAATAATAGTACTTAATCTTTAAATTTAAAGATGCCATAAACAGTACGGGCCTGAAGAATTGTGGGTGCTCTAGAACATACAAATTTCTTATAAATATGTTTGGTATTTTTTCCTGATCATGAGGCCACATGTTTTTCTCGAGTATTATTGTGGCAGATAGTGAGGAGCCATGCAAACTGATTCATCACTTGAAACATGATTTTTTTTTTCTTGGGTACAACTGTCTGGAGAAGTAATGAGAACATCATGAAATTCTAATATTCTTTTACTCGAATATGTGACTAGGAAACACAAAATATATACGATCAATCTTCTCAGTTCCATAACTATATCGTTATTCTTGTGCATGTTATGTATAAATTATAGTCTTTCATTTGATTTGATCCATCTCTTGAGTTTCATTTGTATCAATTTTGAGATGGAACCCTATTTAAGATATATACAACACTTTCTAAGGTTTGACACATATATACGGGAAGGTAATTACACACTCACAGTTTTGAATTATTGCTGTTTGTAATTTGGGTACATCACTTTGTTGCAGCTAAGTATCTGATTCTCAAATGTTGCAATAATCACTTTGGAAACTTGCATCCAATTAACTAGTGCTACTTTGAAAGGAAGTAACACAAATGTAGGAAAGAATTATTTGCAGCATTAACTTCATCTGGTGTCCATCACCAGAAATGTAACTTTTACTAATTTCTTCTCATCTTTGTTCTTCTTGGCAAGGAAAGGTTTGATTAGCACATGTGTGTTTAGAACAGCTGATATCTTTACAAGACAGCTTAATGATTTTAAGTGAAGTGGTAGATAGAAAATTTGGTAAACAGCCCCTTAGAGATGCAGATGTACAGTTACAGGGCTGGTATCCATACGGGGACGCAGTGGTTAGACAATCTTGCTTGTATGCCTGTATGTCTATGTTAAAACTTGAACGTGGCTGATATCATTCAAACATTGTTTCTGGTAAAGCTTAGTTTACCAATGACTAAGTTTGGTAGTGTTGTTTTTTAGAATACTAATAGTTGCGTTTCTTTTCATAGTGGAGGGAGAAAACCTCCCTTAAATTGACAATTTATCTATTATACTCTATGCATAATGCTAGATCAAGTAAATGTTGGTAGGGTCGGCCGTTGCCATAGTAGATGCATAATAACAGTAGGACCCACATAACATGATAGATGCATTTTGATATTTCTTTGCAAGTTGATGCAGGATACTCTCATACCGGAGGCTGTGGAAGGATGTTTTGAATATTGTTAATACATATTTCTAAAATAATTTGTGGAACTGCTATGAAAGAAATTATGGTTCCTTATTGTGCTAGGGAAAGAATTCGTAGTGATTTTATTAAGCATCATTGTTAAGAAAATTGGAAACTTTAATTGAAGTTATGTTCTAATTCTTTTAGAAGAGGCTAGCTTTCATAGACACTGTTAGCTTTGTTATATGTATGGCTGTAGGAACTGTCTTAAGGACATCAAATGATATTTTTCTTTGTGAAATTATCGGGAACATCTTCCCCCTTTTCCTCCTCTTGTCTTCCTATGTGTATTCCCTTTTAGTCCCTCTTTTCTTATTCTTACCAAAATGGCATCAGAGATGTGACCGACATTTTCATGTTCTGGAGCTTTATAAACTTTAACCTATTGGTCACCGTGACCAATTTTCATGAAATGCAAGACATGTTGCACCCTAAGAAGTAAATGCCAAGGGGCTTTAAGCTGACCTTGCTGGTTTCACTGCTAATATTGCTGAACTCAGTGCTGCAATAAATGATTTTAAAGGACAAGAAATTTAATTAAGCCCAAACTGAAATCACTTTCTCTTCTGTTGCTCAGCTACTTTGAGGCCAATTTAAAACAATCTGATATAGTTTTACCTATCAACATAATATGATATTAGAAGTTCATGTTTGTACATTAATCTGAAGATAATTATAATTTCCATGTCAAAATGAATTGCTTGACATTCACTTAATCTCCCTTAGGCGATTAAGTTCTAGAAGGTCACATGATTGCATAACACCATTTAATGTTTGTAAGAACAGTGCCACCAGGTTGGCTGCTAAATAGTTGAGAAGCATTTTCCAAGGATGTGCCTGAAGGCATGAATGAAGCACTTTGGACATAATATCATGGTAGTTCATCATCTAAAAGAGCATGTGCAGAGGTTCTTTCTTCTAGTTCCACAAAATTATATACACAAGGAAAGACTGAAATGAAGTTGGGGTTGGAAGCAAAGCCATGTCCGATGGCATATGATGTCATTTTGATTACTTATGCAAAGTTGCAGGTTGACAACTGGCGCTTAACGACTTTCTCCATTATAGATCTTGTAGAAATTGTTATGTGATGCCTTTTCAATAGGATGTGTAGTATGGGATTGGGAGAAATGATGCAAGACATGCATGATCCAAGAGGCTGGGAAGCGTGATACCAGTAGCAGTTTCTATTATTAGTAGTAGTAGCTAAAGTCATCAGTATAATTATAAGGAAATTACTTAGGATATCTGATCTATGGAAATTGTTCCCTGACTATCTTAGGAAACAATTTCTTAATGATGTAATAGAATATTTAGGACACCATTAGGAAAAGTATGTACTATCCTTTTCCAAAAAAAAGTATGTACTATATTTAATTGTGGAAACTCTATCCTAGTTGTGTTAGTAGAAGATGTCTTGGTTATTTTATAGACTACTTGAGAAGGTGTTACCTTTATTACGTAATGGGGCTGTAGGCAATATCGACGATGTTGGATGGTATTTTATTAATACTTTGTTTGTGACAATTGTTTGGCGCATCTTCTCAGCTTATCCTCCTTCATGTCATTCTACATTACTTCTCTTTATTTTATCATCTAATAATATTCAATTGATTCTCCTGAGAAACTGGATTTTATGTATTAACCTCATACAGGACTTTATGAAACTCAACATCTAAGAATGGTTATTATGTAAAAGTAACGGTCTATTTTGTATACAAATAGAAACTACTATTTAATGTTGAAAGGGATGCATGTAAAACTCTGAAGATTATCAGGCTCCTCTGAAGCGAAAATTCCCAAGTATTGCATGCTACCATGGATTACTTTTTTCCATGGAATGGAAAATGATGGAAAGCATTAACTCTTGACAAGCTCAATACCTGAAAAACTCAAGCCACTTGCACCACAAACAATGTACCATTGAAGTAAAAGGAATAATGAAACTGTTTTTTGCTTGTTTCTTTCTAGCTTTGGCGATGGTTGGTGCTAATGTCCTCTTTGGTCATTTGGTCTTTACGTTTGTTTGTTTATATTGCAGGGTGGTGACTTGCGATACTGCAAGAAATGTTCTCTACACAAGCCACCTCGTTCCCATCATTGCCGTATATGTAAACGTTGTGTTTTACGAATGGTATGCCTGCTTCTGTCTCCCTCTCATTCTTGGATCATCTAACATAATTTGTTAATTTGCCACCTCTTTGAAATCGAAGGATCACCATTGCGTTTGGATGAACAATTGCGTTGGTCACGCAAACTATAAGGTCTTCTTTGTGTTTGTTGTGTATGCTCTCATTGCATGCCTATACTCTCTGGTATGTTCTATTCTTTGCCCATTTGTTGGTTTCACATTTCAGTTATCTGATGATTGTATCCATCATTTTGGATGGCTAGATTTTGCTTATAGGAAGTTTAACTGTTGATACTCAAAAGGACGGTGAAGGATCTTACCGAACTGTATACGTATGATTTCACCACCATCAACAACTTACAACAATCATTTTGCTTACTTTATCTTCTTATCTTAAAAGTGTTGATTTTGTTTTGCAGATCATTTCCGGGCTGTTGCTAATCCCACTTAGCATGGCTCTAGGTGTCTTTTTAGGGTGGCATATCTACCTTACTGTACAAAACAAGACCACAATAGAGGTCCGAATGAGGTTTCTTTTTTCTTATTTTGAATAAGTGTTGGTATCTTACATAGTCTCATGGACTGTGTAAACTTTAGGCCCTCCGGTCAGTGAACGTGGTTCCTAAGGAGTTGATAGCATCACCTGTGGGATTCAAAATTAAGCCAAGGTTCCAAAGCCAGGCCAAGCAAGCAAGCCCGCCCTTGGGGTTCAATTAGAACATTTGTTTTCTAATGGTTTTTTAGCGTAATAACCCATCTTTTTTAGCAGTATTACGAGGGCGTGAGGGCTATGTTGCTTGCAGAACAAGGAGGGAATGTCTATTCACATCCATACGATCTTGGTGTTTATGAAAATTTGATTACAGTGAGTGAGAATGTTATGATCCCTTTTTCTTTTCTATTCTTTTCTTTCTTTATTATTTGATTGATTACAACTATATTAACGTTATAGGTGTTGGGTCCAAATATCCTTTGCTGGGTTTGTCCGGTGTCGAGCTACATAGGATCTGGGCTTCAATTCCGAACGGCATACGATCATGCACGCAGTTTGACTTCGACTAGATGAAATTATGTTAATATAAAGTGGAGCGGATTGACTAAAGAAAGATAGGGTGAGGAAAAGTAAGTTCTAACAAGTTTGTTTGTTTGTTTGTTTTTGAGGTGGATTTTGGGGGTGGGGGGGTTACAGTTTGTTTTGGTGTTTGTAGATCATACATACATACAATAAGCAGGAACTGGAATGGAGTAAAAGGATTTGTACATATAACAAGTAAAAGAAAGTGTGTTTTCATGTCCCTTCTTCAAATGTGATTTTGGTAATTGGCTAAACCAAATTAGAAAATCTTAGAGGCCGTTTACTAAACGCTTATCACGTAATTTTTCTCACCGGATGAACATGGCAAGAGCCAAGAATCTTATCCGGTAAGAGCGATGATAAGGATGGAGTAGTCTTATCCGGTTAGTGAGGGTGACGACTCTTACCCGGGTAAATGCTTACCAGGTAAATTGTTGTATATGATACGTTTTTAATGTACTACAATCTCACCTAATAAAATAAAATTATAGTGTTAGACTTCTAATGTTAAAACACTTATCGAATAAGCATTTAGGCAAACGGTCCCTATTAAATATTTTTTTTCATATTTTAACCTATGTTTCTTTTTATATAAATTATTTGTTTTTATATTCTTTCGTATTTGGGTTGGATGTTGGTTTATGATATATAAAAATATATAATTGTGTGAGAAACAGAGTGAGACCCATGATCCATGATGGAGGTTCCATACCCACCACCATAATGCCTTGTCAGCTGATAAAATCGTGACATGTGTCTCCCTGCACATGGTCCCGATCCGACTCAGCAACTACTTTCACCACGCTTTAACTGGCGCGTGGAGGAAACCCCTATAAGAAATAGTTTCAGTTATTTTATTGGGAAAACTACAATAAAAACCAATGAACTTTCTTGTTTGGAATGATTAAGTTCTTGAACTTTTTTTTGGAACAAATAAGTCCTTGAACTTTCCAAAACATGTTAAATAAGTCATTGGACAATTTTTTGGCACAAATAAGTCCATGAACATTCCAAAATATGTTAAATAAGTCCTTAAACATTCCAAAAAATGTTAAATAAGTCCTTGGACAATTTTTGGAACAAATAAGTCCTTGAACAATCCAAAACATGTTAAATAACTTCTTGAACTTTTATAAAACATGTTGGATACATTTTAATGACTTGTACAACTAGTTAAAATGGTAATTATTTTTTTGTAAATGTAAGTACTTTTTTGTTATATTTGTTTAATTTTATAGATCTAAATACTTTTTGGTTCAAAATATATTTAGGGGCTTAATCGTTCAAAATATGAATGTTCATTGGGTTTTTTTCCGGATTTTTTTCACTATTTTACCACTTTATTTTTTTCAAAAAGTTATTTAACATGTGTTGGATTGTTCAATAACTTATTTGTTCCAAAAATTGTCCAAGGACTTATTTAACATTTTTTGAAATGTCCAAGGACTTATTTGTTCCAAAAATTGTCCAAGGACTTATTTAACATATTTTGGAATGTTCAAGGACTTATTTAACATGTTTTGGAAAGTTCAAGGACTTATTTGTTCCAAAAAAAAGTTCAAGGACTTAATCATTCCAAACAAGAAAGTTCATTGGTTTTTATTGTACTTTTCCCTATTTTATTCTACAAAAATTAGGTTTTTATAATTTATTTATTAAAATAAAATATTAAGTAAATTACACTTTTGGTATAGGTGATTGCTGCTGTGCTGGCTATCAAAGTCTTTTTCCATTTTTAAAATAATTACATTTTTAATCCTTCTGATTGACATTTGTTACATTTTTGGTCCCGACTCTATTGAAAAATAACGATATACAATCATTATGTTATTATCTTAAGTATTAATTATATTTTATATATAACACCAGTGGTGAATGTCATTCCCCCTCGTCTTTCTTCATCGTTGGGCAAATCACACCCTACCCTTTCCGAAAAGAAGCTCACCTACAACCCTTTTTCCGAACAGTGGAATGAATATATTCGTTCTACTTAAAAACAGGGTAGGAAAGAAATAACAATGAGGATTGTTAGTGCGTGGATGCGCTCATGAAACCATCTTCCTTCATCGGCAAGGATCCGCTTATAGGTCTGATCCCCTTTCTAAATCAATTCGAAAACTACCACATGGAAATCGTGATTCACTCTCTTTGTAAATCAAAACCTGGGGTGGTTTACATCACGACAATTAGCGTTATATAGGGTTTGATTCATGATTTTTGTTCGTATCTTTTTTATATTATTTTGTTTAATGATTGATTGTATTTTAATTTTTCAGAGTGAACAATTATTCAATGGTGTTTGATTTGCTTTTTATTTATGGTCTCGGTGGTGGTGGTGGTGGAGTCGGAAGGTGGTTGTGTGTCTCTAAAATTGGAAATTATTTAATTTAAAAAAAGTAGAATAAACTAAAAAAAATGGTAAAAGACAAAAATGTCCTCACATGATCCTTGTGTGAACGTGAAGGGACTTAACTGACCTAAATAACCATTGTTCGCCATATGGACCAAAAGAACGGAACTCACAGTTTTTTTGTCAAATATGTATGACTGTTTGATACTGACTTTATAATACAGAACATGGTTTATTCGTTAAGCTGTTTTTCTGACACACCTTTTTTATTCAATAAAAAACTCTCTTAAAAAACGGTATTCAAATCTATACAAACAAATTAATTTATACAATCAGCTATATTTACACAGAAATTAATAAAAACCAAATATATAGGGATTGGAACAAGATATTTCTTAGAAAAGGCTTTAAATTTATATTTCTTTAAATCTTCTTTCTTTTTTCTATCACATCAAGAAGACAGATGCAACGTTTCTGTAATAAATTGCTGGAAATATGCAAACATATGGGGGGCAAGATTGATTAAAAGGCAACTTGATTAGATTGGCTTTTTACCATACCAAAATTTCTGGAGAAATCCTCTCTGTTCTTGCTTCATGAATTCCAAGCTTGAAATGGACGAAGATCCTTGTGGCATTAACAGGTTTACAAATCTCTCTCTCTCTCTCTCTCTCTCTTATCTGATTCATGCTGTTTTCTTTCCTTTTGTATCTTGCTTTATACTATGCTTGAATGTGTTAGCAATTTCAAAAGCAGCTCATGTTCAGATCCCCCTTTTCATTTACTGGATTATTGATCTTTTAGCATCTGAATAGAAGTAGTAGTAGGGCTTAATTGAAGCTCTGATATTTAACTTTTGATGTCGAAAAAAGTATATTATCTTGTTAATTTAACAATTTAATTTGTTAGGAAGTCCGATTCTAGCAATCGTTGCTTTCAGTTTGAGGTCAATTGCAGCTTGTTTGTGGAAATACCCAATTTCAGATCGGTTTTTGGAGTGTGACATCCCATCCCTCATCAATTATCATTTTATCAGTGCACTACTAACAATATTTGACCAATTTTTAGTACATATGGAGATAAATGAGTCAATTTGAAGCTTTTGGCTTGGGTTTTCAGATGGTAACATGAGAGCAGTCTATTGTTGTTGGGTATAATGATTCTGGGATCATGCTTTGGTCTTGGTTTGGAGGTTTTCATGAACCACAGCCGCTCTACTCCTTTGAGCTAAGGTCAAGTTACATCCCAAACACCCACGGGGGTGGTGGGGTTTGTTCACCTTCAGATGGGATATACTGGCCTGGTTGGGTTGGGTTGGGTTGGGTTGGATTGGGTTGGGTTGGGTTTAGGTCTTGGTCTAGGCCTACCAAAAGACTTGTGAATTAAGTTGTTGGTAGTAAGCTACCAATGACATTCAACCATAGTTTATGTTGATTTGGAGGATATCATATTACTCTGTTTCGTTAGGCTTATACGGAAGGTTGTTAAATGTTAAACAAGTACAGTTGCACTCGTCTTGGTGAAAGTTTGCTACTTATAACCTTAAGGGCCAGCTGAACCGGCAAATAAAGGCATGGCCAAGTTTCCTCCCCACAGGTCGTCCGTTCGAGTCTCATAACCATTAGGGATTTTCCTAGTTGTTATCTTAGGGTCCCATGGCGTAAGTCGAGGTCCGCGCAAGTAGGCTTGGACATCCATAATTACCAAAAATAAAAAAGGTTTGCATCTTGTGTGAGATTAAGAATCTTTTGGAGTTTTCGTGATCATTTTTTTCGTTGGACGGGGGGAAGTGATTGAATATACTGCCTCCAGAAAACATTCAAGCTAAAATCTTGATGGTTCATCCGTTTGCAACTCTTAACAAGAATCGGTGACTGCTTTACTCTGAAACAAGAACTTAAGAGTTTTTGAGTCCCTCTTGAAATCACACAGCATTTTGCAAATCCTGGAGATATATCTGTTAGGAAGGAAATAACGAACGAGGTGTAGATTGTAAGCAGAATAACCACTATACACATGGCGTCATGATCGAGCATATTTTCAGTTTTTTAATCCTTTTCTTTTCTTCGTTATCTCAAGTGACAATGCAACCCTCCGAGCGTATATTATTTCTAGATATCCATCATTTTTATGTGATTTTTCTTCGAGCAATTGCAATACTGATAGAAAACTACTTCATGCCAGGAAGCTTTACATGAACAAGAGAAAATTCCATCATGGAAGTTTAGACCTTCCTGTGTCAAAACACGCCTGTTTCGAGAAGAGCTCTAATGCAGAAACTTGTTTTCCATCCAACATCCAATCTGATATTGAGGACTTAAGAAACAGTAGAAAAGAGAGGTCAACTTATAATAGTCACTCGATAGATGATCAAATAGAACAAGGGTCGGAAAAAGATAGCAACAGCTTTTCTGAAGATGCAGACTCAGTCATGTCTGTATCAATCGATTCTAAAAACGAGCTGCATTATCTCAAGATTTGTCCACCGGATCAGAACTCTGATGCATCTGTTAATTGGGGTAGCAGATTCTTTGATTCTAGTGTTAATTATCTTGACCGATCGGAGACAAAAGCATGTGATGAAAATTTTATGAACCCCGCTTACAATGTGTACGAATCTCCAAGTTTTGAGGAGCAGCAGATGGATTGTGGAAACATTGATGAATTTGATAGCTCGGAATACAAAAATGGCGGCACCAAGCCACTGGACGATTTGTTTTGCTCCGATGGAGTCATCCCAGATAATTTCGTACTTTCATCAGGAAGATGGAATGTCAACCAAGGTAACATCTTGAAGTTTTGTTATTCTGTGTTCTTAGAGTGCGTTTGGTCGCAGACAATACAGAGTGGGACAAAAATAAAAATAAAAATAAAAATCAGGGAAATGAGACAAATTTGGTAAATTACTAAACTACCATGTCAAATTAAAACCTAAAATCAGTCTCGTCTGTCCAATCATGTCTGCATACCAAACGCACCCTAATATGTTTTGTTTTATTTCCTGCTTTTTAGAGATTGAACTTGATGCCATGAATGCAGATACCGAACAAGGCACCGAGAAAATGACCATTGATAAAGAATTTGAGCAGTATTTTTCGATGCTTATGCTATAGCAAAGATGATCGAGTATGAACGAGGTAAAATGTACATGATTGTTGTCATTTTCGTTGTATGTAATATATTTCATACGATGGACGGACTTTAGCTTGATTTCCCACCACCACTAAAAAAGCAACACGTGTAGAAGGTTTTTGGGGCGTTTAATTTCAACGTTGGACTTGACATCGTCCTAAAACGAAAAAGCATCAACCCAGAACCAGAAGGGTACCTCAATTTGTAAGGTTCTGGGTTTGCTCCTCGGTGGTCACCTGGAAGTTTGTGTTTATGTAAAGTCTCGGGTTCCATATTGCATATAACCATGTATTTCATATATCCAGAAATACAATTAGTACATATTTGGTCCCAACAATACAAGAAACTATATTACAGAATTGACAATCAAAAATTTTCATAACATTCTTATGCATAACTGACATAGAAACAACTTCTCCAAAAATCCAACAGTTAACATGTTCTTCATAAATCAATTAAATTTCACATTTCCCTTTATCTCTTGATATAGCGTGACCTGCAATGCACATTTTTGAAATACAAATTGAGGGTGAGAAATCCCTTTTCTTTGCAATTACAGGGTGAAAATCACCAAAACCTGTTATAAAATCATACTTGTAATTTTATGAATATCTAACAACTTTTATAAAATACAACTCCAATATCACAAACAAAAATGTGAGTTATAAATTTATTTCTTATCACACATGGAATGTAACTACTCAGATTTTCACATCATTCGGACGAAAATTCCCAGAGCTCCTTATCTTAACTATTAAATCTTACAAGGGAATGCGACCAACCAGAGCTCTTGGTTATTGGCCAAAGCTTAAAAATAAAAATTATATTGAACTTAAAAAAGAAAATGGGTTTTAATAATAACTAGAGACCATCTGGGTTCTTTATCAAACCTTATTCTTTTGAACAGTTTGAAGTGTAATATCCAATATCCCAAAAATATTGTTTATTCGAAACATAGACAATTAAAGCCTTTGGCTATAAGCCATTTTCCTCCTTTGCACAACGTTATTGTTATCATATTAATAAGAGCAATAATTCTAAGTCTTTATATCACATAGAAATGATAACTCTGAATCATTGCATCTCATGGATATGATAACAAGAGTTATGATCATAACACAAAATTCACAATTGTCACTCTTATCTCATGGTACATCTTTCCTTGATATGACACTCTTATTCTATAATGCGCATCTCCTTGATATGTCATCTTATCCGATGATACACATCTCCTTGATATGTCACTCTTATTCCCTCATAAAACGTAATCAAATCTGTCATTTTTAGCCAGGAATGGCATTAAAACAGTTTCACCACTAAGGGCAATAACTGCTCTTATCGGACAACACATGAGCGGTGACCGCCCTCACCGGACAACACATGAGCGATGACTGCTTTCACCAAACAATACATGGGCGATGAACACCCTCACTGGACAACACATGGGAGATGAACACCCAATCCGAACAACACATGGGTGATGAACACCTAACCGGACAAGGCTTTGCAATAAACACCCTTGTCGGATAACACTTTGGGCAATGAACACCTAATCTGGACAAGGATTTGGTGATAAACACCCTCGCCAGATAACACTTTGGGCGATGAACACCAATCCGAACAAGGCTTTGGGCTATAAAGGTTCCTCTGGTAATTCTAACTTATATGCAACCAAACCGACCCGCTTACATATTCTGAATGGCCCAATATACCTCATACTGAGTTTACCTCTTTTTCCAAATCTTACAACACCCTTCTATGGAGAAACTTTCAACATCACAAGATCTCCTACTAAAAATTCAATCGGTTTACGACGCTTATCTGCATAACTCTTCTGTTGATCCTGGGTTGTTTTAATAAGTTCACGTATCTGTTCAATCTTTTCAGAAGTTATCTGAACAATTTCTAGACCAGTTAACTGTCTTTCTTCCACTTCATTCCAACACAACGACGTTCTGCACTTTCGGCCATACAAAACCTCATAAGGTGTCGCTTGGATGCTGGAGTGATAACTGTTATTGTAAGCAAATTCGATCAAAGACAGATGATTTTCCCATGATCCCCCGAGGTTAATTATGCAAGCCCTTAACATATCTTCAAGGGTCTGAATTGTTTTTTTCACTTTGTCCATCGGTTTGGGGATGATATGTCGTACTTAATCTGATTTGAGATCTCATGACTTTTTGAAAACTCTCCCAAAACTTTGAGGTAAATCTACTATCCCTATCTGAGATGATGGATAACAGAACACTGTGACGAGTTACAATTTCTTCGATATAAATGTTTATCAACCTTTCTAAAGGATAATTTACTTTAATCGGTAGAAAGTACACAAATTTAGTTAAACGGTCTATGATAACCCATATGGCATCTCTTTTGGAGTTTGTGGTAATTTAATGACAAAATCCATCGTGATATGATCTCATTTCCACACAGGAATTTCCAAAAACTGTAAATTTCCATATGGTTTTGATGTTCGATCTTTACTTGCAGACACGTCAAACACCGTTCTACATATCTTGCGATATTTTTCTTCAATTTTGGCCACTAATAAAACAGTTTTAAATATTTATACATTTTATAAGTACCTGGATGAATCGAATATCATGATTTGTGACTTTCATCGAAAATTAACTCTCGAATATTCCCAAAACACGGTATCCAATCCTGCCTTAAAAGCATAGAATTCATTTGTCATTCTTTATCAAAATTAAAATCATCTTGCCAACTCTTTCTGCTTTGAAATTGTTTTCTTTGATAGCTTCATCTTGACATCTTAAAATTTCATTGTGAAGATCTGGAGTCAAATTTGTTTCTCATTGCAACTGCTTTGATCGTACCACTTATTTCTTTTCTGCTAAGAGTATCAGCTACCACATTTGCCTTTCCTGGATGGTAAAGAATTTCACAATCATAATTGTTAACCAATTCAATCCACCATCGTTGCCGCATATTCAATTCTATATGATTAAAAAAGTGTTGAAGGCTTTTATGATATGTGAAAATCTGATATTTAGTTCCCAGCAAATAATGCCTCCAAATCTTTAATGCAAATACCATGGCCGCAAGCTCCATATCGTGTGTCGGATACTGTTTCTATTTCACCAAAACATTGGATATGACGGTTTTCCATTTTTACAAACTTTGGTCTTCAGAATTGGTTGAAGATCCTTCACACTTTTTTTTCTCTATCACTTTCTTTTTCCCCTGCTTGTTTTTGTTTCTTTTTGTAGTTTCGGCATCATCTACTGCCATTGGAAAAGTGACAGGACTCATGGCAATTACAAACTCTCGTATTAAGGGTTTTAAACCCCAGATTTATCTTTCAACCTTTCAAGATTCGATGGAGATATAATGTTCTGCAAATCGGGAATGTTCAATAAATCTTTCAGTATATTCTCGTACCGTCCGACTACCCTGTTCCAACTTCAAAAATTCTTCATCTAATTGTATGACCGCAACTTTTGGACATAATTGTTCTTTAAATCGATTGACAAATCTTGACCAAGACATAGTTTGCAAGATATCTGGCTTGGCCAAAGATTCCACGCCCCACCAATATAAAGCATTAGATTTCAACATCGATACTGCAAATCTGATCTTATCTTCCTCTGGACATTTACTGGTGTCGAACACAAATTCAATATCTTTCAACCAGCACATTGCTTTTACGGGTTCTCTTTCTCTAGAAAATATTGGGGGTTTATAAGTTAAAAACATCTTAAAATCACCCTCTCTACTGTTGTAGCTTGAATTTGGGGATTTACCTCGACTCTTTCTGTTTCAATTCTAGTTGGTACCCCAAGAATAAATGTCATAATGTTTCTTAGTTTATTCATTTCTTCTGCTAATACATCTCGGGTCACATACTCAGACTGTTGCACATGTTCTTGATTTGTATTTCTAGAAATTGATTCATTCTGATTTGGAGGTAATTCAGATTGACCTTGCCTTCCTTCTCCCTGATTTCTTCCATTGCCTCTACCCCTACCTCTTCCTCTGCCTTCGGATAAACTGGTTGGAACATTTTCAGGTGAATTTTCTCTATCATTTGGGTTGGAGAGGGAGATCCTTTCAGTCCTTCGGGAACTACTGGTCATCTGCAAATTTTCAATATTAATAATTACATAATCACATTCCCCAAATATAATAAGGTGTTTAAGTACAAATATGTACCTGTAAATTCCTAATTACAGTGGTAAGTTGTAATTTGAATTTACCTTGCATACTCTCCTCTTAACCCATCATATTTATCCCAATGGTTCTCTCTATGTCAATGACCCTTAATATGCAAATAATACAGTTTAAGTCTAGATATCATGCTGAATATCTAAATCCCTTAAACTCAAGCTTTGATACCATTTGTAATGCCCCCAGGTTCCATATAACCATTTATTTCATATATCCAGAAATACAATTAATGCATATTTGGTCTCAATAGTACAAGAAACTATATTATAGAATTGACAATCAAAAATTTCCATAACATACTTGTACATAACTGACATAGAAACAAGTACTCCAAAAATCCAACAGTTAACATGTTCTTCATAAATCAAGTAAGCATAACAAAAAAAATTTCACATTTTCCCCTCCCTTTATCTCTTGATATAGCCTCACCTACAATCTACATTTTTGAAATACAAATTGAGGGTTAGAATATCTAACCTGTTATAAAATCATATTTGTAATTTTATGAATATCCAACAACTTTTATAAAATATCACTCCAATATCACAAACAAAAATGTGAGTTATAAATTTATTTCTTACCACACATGGAATGTAACTACTCAGGTTCTCACATCATTCGAACGAAAATTCTCAGTGCTCTTATGGCTCATAAGAACCAACTCCTAATCTCAACTTTTAAATCTTACAAAGGAATGCGACCAACCGGAGCTCTTGGTTATTGGCTAAAGCTTAAAAATAAAAATTATATTGAACTTAAAAGAAAATGGGTTTTAATAATAACCAGAGACCCTCTGGGTTCTTTATCAAACCTTTACTCTTTTGAACAATTTGAAGTGTAATATCTAATATCTCAAAAATATTGTTTATTCGAAACACAGACAATTAAAGCCTTTGGCTATAAGCCATTTTCCTCATCTGCACAACGTCATTGTTATCATATCAA